TATTATTATCAAGATTTGTTTTTTGTTTTTGAATTTCGCGCAAAGCCACACGAGGGCTATCTGCGCTAGCCTTTCCTAATTTACCAGTGTAAGACTAGAGGGAAGGCAGCTAGTCATCACCACCCACCGCCAACTCTTGGGCTACTCTTTTACCAACAAATAGTGGGATTGACCGTCACATTATAACGCCCCCACGGCTGAAAGGGCGAGCATGTTTAGTGTGATGGGGATCCACGAGTATCGAAACCTGGTTTCTGACGTTGTAAGTCCGCATATATATATACCGTTGTGCCATTGGGGGGCTTCAACTCTGGTACGTTTCTGACGAGCAGATTGTGAGATGTTTTTACTTAATATTGATTTATATAGAAAGTCTATTAAAACCACTATTTGAAAAATATTTAAACGTACGTTTATACATGGGACATGGAAAAATTATGATATATTTTTATTAATTCTACATTATTTCTTAATCAATTATTAAAATCTGAATTATTGTGATATAGAAATGCTCCAGCCTGTTTCTGTGAAATAAAATGCTATTATATTTGAAAATATAATAATGATCAAGCCCCCAGTGGCACAGCGGTATGTTTGCGGACTTATAACGCTAGAATCCGGGTTTCGATAGCAGTTGTGGGCAGAGCACAGATAGCCCATTGTGTAGCTTTGTGCTTAATTACAAACAAACAAACAATAATGAAAATAAAAATTATTGTTAGTACATATTATGAATCTTAACCAAACTTTCTTCTCGAACGCTCAGTGGCAAGTCTGCGGGTTTATAACGCTAAAAATCAGCTGTCGATACTCGCGGTTTGTAGAGTACAGTTAGCCCATTGTGTGGCTTTGCGCAACAAACAAAAGCTAAATAAAAATATATAAATAATAATAATAAATTTAAATAACACTACCAGAAGAAATGGCGACTTAAGCGCCATCCATGAACTATATTTGTAATAACAAAGTGACAGCACAGATTATGTTTCTCTCCGTTTCGCGATCTTTGTCGAAGAAAATAATGCCTTATATACAATTTAACTCCACACATTGTTAGTTCAAAACACTTATTGTTTTGGATAATTCTTTAATACTGATTGACTTTAGCAGTCTATCACAAAACATTAATGCTACTTCTCAGAATTCAATTCATAAACAGTCTTTGTTTTTTACTATGAGAGTGAAACTTTTAAATTTTATAGAATTAAAAGTGTCAAAAATAAGTTATATCGTTTATAATACGATTGAATTAACGTGTAGGGATATCTGCTAACAATGTTGAAAGAATCTGTTAAAGTTATGTAGTTCAACTCATCTCTCCTAAAGAATAAACTTTCCTGTCTACGTTATTCACTATTATCATGCTGTTATAAATGAAGATGGCGGTTGTTTTTAATATCAAGTTCACTGATTGAACATCAATGTGACCCTCAGTGGCACGGTGGTATGTCTGCGGACTTATACCGCTAGAAACCGGGTTTCGATACCCGTAGTGGGCGCAGCACAGATAGCCGTAGCGTAGCTTTGTGCTTAACTATAAACAAACAACAAAGTTTCGCCAAACCTGTATGTATGCACTGTCACAACAGTTTTTTTGTTGTTGCTAAAATTGTTTTTGTTTAGTTTTAATAAGATGGCACTGATATTTGGATGTTTTCAAGGGTATTGAAATAAAATTAACAAAAATATAGTAATTTTTCTAACCTACATGCACACAAAGATGCCAATTATTCCAGAGAAAGCCAAACAGTTTCATTGTAATAAAATATATTTGTTAGATAACAAAGCTTCACCACACCATGCGTACGAGTACCATTACAGACTTTCTAGTTAAAATTATTTTTGTTTAACTCCAAAAGATGACACTAGCATCGTAAAATTTCAAGAATAGTGAACTGTGGTGATTGAAATTACAACAGCCTTTCTACATAATATTTTTTTTGTTGAATTCCAAAAGGTGGCACGACGATATAATTTCAAAAATAATGAAATGGGTAGTGAGTGAATTTTAGTTTCGTCAAAGGCACTAAGAGCTTTTTTTTTTTTAATGATATAAGCCTTAACAAAAAAAAAAGTTTGAACAAAAGTTGCCGACTATTGCAAAATAGGATGAAAATATTTATTGTAATGATATATATTTATTGGATAGATTTTTTGTTTTTCTTTCTTTGTTAGGAATTAAGCACAAAACTACACAATGGGCTATCTGTGCTCTGCCCACCACGGGTATCGAAACCCGGTTTCTAGCTGTGCCACTGGGGGCAATTAGATAGCAAGAGTAGTATCAAGACAGCTTGAATGAGTAATGAAGCAAAACTTTAATATAAGTATCAAGACTGCTTTACACGACCGAAATGTACCTGTAAATAAATACCTAATCTTGTATATAAGTTTAGATAAATATTTTTTCGATTACTATCCAGCAATCATATACATTCTATACATGTTAAACAAGCTATCGTAATTTTACAATTAATCATCGGATCAGAACATCACTAGGACTAAAATTCAATACAATTGTTTCTTCGGTTCTCTGTTACTGGTGTCTGATTTGCCAGTGGCTCCCTCTTTTCGAACAAGCGTAATATTAATTATATTTTTTGACTCCATACTGCTCATAAATTTTTCTTCATTTCGCTTGCGTAAAAAGTGTACCGGGCTCCGATAGACTCAAGGATGGATCACTGGTCCTCAAAGTGTTGTTCGCGGGCTGGTCCAAAATGCGAGTCACATCAAAAGTTGCACCCTTCTTCCCACTAAGTGCAGAGAATATTTTATGGTATCGGAAATATTTGAATCCGGTTCACCAGCTGCGAAATTCAAAGCACTACCACAGGGCCAACCTGCGCCCTTGATATT